TTCTTTTAAGAACATAAGAACATAAGAGACGCCAATGTTGGATCAGGCCAAAGGCCCATCCAGTCCAACACTCTGTGTCACACAGTGGCCAGAAATACCAGTGCCATCAGGAGGTCCAGCAGTGGGGCCAGGACATTAGAAGCCCTCCCACTGTTGACCCCCCCCCCAAGCACCAAGAAGACAGAGCATCACTTGCCCCAGAGCCCCTAGCTATACCTTGTGGCTAATAGCCACTGATGGACCTCTGCTCCATATGCTTATCTAATTCCCTTTTGAAGCCGTCCATGCTTGTAGCACCCACCACTTCCTGTGGCAGTGAATTCCATGTGTTAATCACTCTTTGGGTGAAGAAGTACTTCCTTTTATCCGTTCTAACCCGACCGCTCTGCAGTTTCATGGAGTGCCCACGAGTTCTTGTATTGTGAGAAAGGGAGAAAAGTACCTCTTTCTTTACCTGCTCTTTCCCATGCATAATCTTATAAACCTCGATCATGTCACCCCTTAGTCGTCTTTTCTCCAAGCTAAAGAGCCCTAAGCGCTTTAACCTTTCCTCATAGGGAAAGTGTTCCAACCCTTTTATCATTCGAGTTGCCCTTTTCTGCACTTTTTCCAAAGCTATAATATCCTTTTTAAGGTGTGGTGCCCAGAACTGCACACAGTATTCCAAATGAGGTCTCACCATTGATTTATATAGGGGCATTATTATATTGGCTGATCTGTTTTCAATACCCTTCCTAATAATCCCCAGCATAGCATTGGCCTTCTTTATTGCAGTCACACACTGTCTCGACATTTTCAGTGAGTTATCCACTACAACTCCAAGATCTCTCTCTTGCTCAGTCTCTGCCAGTTCAGACCCCATCAATGTGTATTTATATTTAGGATTTTTGGCTCCAATGTGCATCACCTTGCACTTGGCCACATTGAACCCCATTTGCCATGTTAGTAATTGGGTGATAACATGGCAGATCAGAACAATTCCCTTTTTCAATAAAGGAACTATACTGGTCTGCTTCTAAGAATATGGGATAAAGCCAGAGAAATTAAATCATTCTAAAAACTGGAGTTAAAACTTCAGCCCACCAGCCAGGATTGATTTTAAGTCATTTGGATTCAAATCTACATCTGGAATCAAATCTACATTTCCCACAATGAAGCAAATAACTTAGGTACTCTACAACTTTAGATAACACTGGAACAGCAGATAACACTGAATTTTGGCTCCACAGAGGAGAAAAGGGAACTAAAATACTTCACACACTCTGTTGATGCACTACAATAAGGAATGTTATAATGAACCATCCACTCTTAGGCCCCTGCCACACGGCAGGGAAAACATGGGGCGAAGCGGGATCCCACGGATCCCGTTAGCCGCGCACCGTTGCTCCCCGGCACGATCAGACGCCGGGGGGGGAAGAGACGAGTGGGAGGGGGAGGCTGCCGAGCTGCACATGCTCGAGCATGCACAGTACGGCAGGGGGCAGGGGATGCGCCGGCGAAAAGACGCGCCGGCGATCCCACGGCTGCATTTGCCGCGGCCCATTCAATTGAACCACCCAGGTAGGTGGTTCTTTTTGATGCACGTTTTGGGCGGTTGGGACGGATCAGGGATGGCCACGACACGATTGCCAGATGTTGCTGTGTGATCGCGCCCGTTTGATGCGGCCCCGATCCGTCCCTCTCCCGGCCCACAACGCCTCGTGTGAACAGGGCCTTAGTGTGGCACAGTAAACACAGCACAGTTCTAACAGGAACTCTCACAGTGTACCCATGTTATCCTACTGATATCACTAGATGTAAAGGACTGCTTAGGATTGAATAGTAACATGAGAGCCCCTGAATTTAGGGTCCAAAACCCCCCACCGCAGAACCAAGTCAGAGCTTGGCTAAGAACTATAAGCAAGAGGTAGCAGCTGAATGTTTCCAGCTGTAAAGAGGTCCATGTGTTTTAAATTTTACTTGCTAAGTTGTAGTTAAGTACTGGACAGAGACATTTACTCAAAGAGCTTCTGGTAAGTATATGAAAGTAAAGGGGGGGGGAGTCTCAGATTAAACTGGCCAAGGTGTCTACAATGGTTTCTATGAGGGTTTTTTTCATGAATGGATGGACAAAAGGAAACACTTTTTTACAGAGACAGTGATTAAAATGTGGAATTCACTTCCAGAGGATGTAGTGATGGCTAGAGGAACAGACAGCTTTAAAGGGGAATTAGATAGATTCATGGAGGACAGGTCTATCAGTGGCTACGAGCCATGGTGACTGAAGGAACCTTCACGTTCAGAGGCAGTCAACCTTTGAATCCCAGTGCCAGGAGGCAACATCAGGGGAAGGTCTCAGCCTTTATGAACTGTTGTTGACCCTCCAGAGGAACTGGTTGGCCACTGTGTGAGATAGGATGCTGGACTAGATGGACCACTGGTCTGATCCAGCAGGGCTCTTCTTATGTTCTTTCTGTCTGGAAAAATTGGGGGGAGGAGTGGCATGCAAAGTAATAGTTAAGAATAGAAACTGCGGCTTGAAGCAACACGCACAGGTAATCTGGAGGAAGATAGAACAGGGGTGGTTAGGAATTGCTGGAAACGTGCTTCACTGTTGTTTCACATATACATGTGAGAATGTGCTTGTCTTGGACAATATGTGGTCAGAACACGCTTAGAAAAGAGAGCTGCAAGGAGATGGTGTAGATGAACTTTGACCTCTCCACTGAAGCAACTGAAAGTGGACTATCTAACCAATGGAAGGTTAGAGAATCCCAGAAAAAGATCACCCTAAAAACCTGGCTCATTTCTTCAGTCTCTAATCACAGCAGGAACAAAGCTAGGCATGATCCATACATTCTGTCCCTGAACTGACCAGCTGGCCACCTTGTAGCATCAGTCAGTATCACCAGGTCTCATGAATGAGGTAATATGACATTCTGTCTCCATTTATGTGATTATTTGCTATTCATAGTGGAGTGAGCTACAGTGCTTAATAAAGCAAGTTGATTTATAAATCCGATTTGATGTGTATGTAGTTGCTCTTGTTCTCACTAGAAATTCTGAAAAGAACATGCGACATTGCGTCCTACTCAGCAGAGCTGACAAAATGCAACAGCCCCGCGAAAGTACTGACTGATATTTCTATGTTGATCCAACAATTGTGTCAGAGAAGGGAGCATGGATTAGTTCAACATCTTTTTTCAAAAATCACAGTGAAAATGAATTTAGGATTGACCGGTTATAAACCAAAAGGGAACACCATGTTGCATGTGTGGTGGACAGTGCTGTCAAGCTGCTGATCTATTGAATCCATGTGGGCAAGAGACTAACAGAGTTGGTCTGCCATTGCTTGCCTCTGCCTAGCTACTCATTAGTGAAAACACTGAGGACCAGTGCGGTGTATGGTTAAGAGATGAGTATCTGGAAGACACAAGTTCAAATCCCCACTCATGGCATGGAAGCTCACTGGGTGACCTTGAGCCAGCCACACTCTCTCAGCCTAACCTACCTCACAGGATTGTTGTAGTGAGGAAAAAATAGAGGTGAGAATGATGCAAACTGCATTGGATCTCCACTGGGGAGAAAGGCAAGGTACAAATAAATAAATACATAAATAAATAAGACCCTGGATTTCCTTGGTGGTCTTCCATCCAAGTGCTAACCATTGTTCCCTCTAAGCTGAGTTAGTGTGAGCTCACAGCTTTTTAGCTTCTGGCTCACACATTTTTGTCTTAGCTCAGGAACGAAGGCTCCAGAGCAAGCTAATGCATGCAGTAGTCAAATCGCTCGCTCAAAACTTTTACACCAGTCACCCACAAAGTAGAATTTTTGCTCACAAGACTCCACAGCTTAGAGGGAACATTGGTGCTAACCATAGCCAATGCTGCTTATCTTCCAAGATGTGACATGACTCACTAAACCTGGGCCCTTCGGGTCAGGGCATGGACACATTCACATAGAGTTAAAATACCTGTAGGCCTAAGATCAGCCCTGCCTTGTAATGACAAACAATACAGATTTTAATGTTACTACTAACATGTTACTAATAATATTACTAGTAAGATCTGTTTGATTTGATAAAGAACAAAGCGAGTGCTGATTTATGGCATCATAGGATGGATCTAAAGAGCTGCTGAGGCTCTGAGGGTTGCTTGTTGTAGATTGTGTACAGCAAATAAATCATGAGAGCTCCATCAGCCTTGATCTCTAGGATCTCAAAATAACCACTTGAGTATTTACAATGGGGCAACAGCCACGACCTCATTCGCCTGGTGCTGTGATGAAGGTCTCCCATAATCCGTTCAACGGAAATCTGAATCCCCCACCATTTTCACCAATGGACAGAAAGCTTGTCGCTCCCATAATCAATAGTTTGTTCTGCTTCCTGCTTTCTGAAATACTTACTGGTATATACAAGTTGAAAACCTTCATCCGTTCCTTCAGAATCTGAATTAAATTCAAGCCAAAGATGATTTGAAGTGCTGCTCAGCGTCAGTCCTCGCAGTGACGCTCCAGTAAATGCCCCCAGCAAGTGTACTGTGTTGTCCCTTCCGTCATATATCTGTAAAACAAATTGGCCTTGGATAATTTCGACACACATAACAGAGTAATAGCAAAGCAAGCCCCTATTTCAATTATGAAACGGATCAGGGCTGCTGCATCTTCTTATTATATGTTTATACAGAGTGTCTCTTATGATCCCTATTCCTTTTAGACTAAGTCAATTTGCTATGATTTTCTTTTTAAAAAACCCTGCATGACAATAGGCAGGGGCAAAGCTTTCATTTCAAAACTACGCTTTTAAACATCTGTGTTTACTCTGAAACTGCCAATATTTTAATGGTGGCATCAACACATAATAAATTATCATTTGGTGTACCCATTTCTACTCTTTTTAAAAAACTCTGCATGACAATAGGCAGGGGCAAAGCTTTCATTTCAAAACTACGCTTTTAAACATCTGTGTTTACTCTGAAACTGCCAATATTTTAATGGTGGCATCAACACATAATAAATTATCATTTGGTGTACCCATTTCTACACTAGTCATAGAACTGGCATAACAAAAAAAAATGCAATCTCTTTGCAGCCATGAGTATTAAAGCAACTTATGTACAATCTTGGTAAATAAAGACATACTCTCATTTATATCAATGCTATAAAAGGGAACCAAAGGATCTCAGATGGAACAAACAGTCTAACTGTGGTTGTAAGTCGGAAGGACAATTTAATCTATATGTAAATTTTGAATCTATGTATTATATATTTATTTTATTTTCTATACCACAAAAGAGTTTTCCTCCCCCCCTGCAAATACACTTGAAATGGTGCTGAGAAGAAGAAAGTATTTCAGCTGAAATGGAACAGCATTTGGCCAGTTTCAAACTGGGATTTCAGGCATATGAAGAAATAAACTGCAGTTTGGTCCACAGTAGATGATATATTTAAAGCTTATGGTCTTTAAGTAGTAATTATATTTGTAGCTGACTACCTGCTCTACTTCATTTCAGAGACAAAGTGAAGAAGTTCACGATGAAAATACTACATCATGCGTCGTGACTGTCTTCTGCTGTTTCAGTTATGACTTAATATTATTTTTAAAAAACCTTTTAAATATAGAGAGAACAAAAAAAAAACCCCACTCCTAATCATGTTTGTTTTTCTTTCTCCATTGAACGTCATATGACTAAACAGTTAGTTCATATCAGGTAAGTCTACCAGACCATTATGTTCTACTCTGACTGGCAGGGACCTTCACTTTGCTGATAACATCAAATTATTCGGAATAGAGAAAACGCAGACAGACCATGAAGAACTCCAATATGACTTTTCCAAAATGGATGAATGGGCAACAGAATGAGAAATATAAATAAAGTAAAGCATACTGGGACAGAAAAAGAAGAAGAATATCTAAAGGTAATTTTCTTCAAGTGGAAGAGGTAGAGAATTCTCACTTATTCTGCCATTGTGAAGCACAGAACTCCAGAACATACCTTTATAATGTGTGAATCTGCCCTTAAGTGGTTGCTTGCTTAGCTTTACAAAGGAAACTGGAGTGTCTCAAGCAATGCTCCATCTAAGCTGTGGGGTCTTGTGAGCAAGAATTTTACTTTGTGAGCTACTGGTATTAAAGTTGTGAGTGAGCGATTTGGCTACTGCATCAATGAGTTTGCTCTGGAGCCATCCCTTCCTGAGCTAAGGCAAAAATGTGTGAGCCAGAGGCTAAAAACCTGTGAGCTAGTTCACACTAACTCGGTTTAGAGGGAACACTGGTCCCAAGGCAAATGTCAATGAAGGTTTCAACACTGGAGGCAGGCATTGCATTCAGCCAAACCGAGTCACCATGCAGGTCAGCCCAGCCTGGTAGTAGCCATTGGCCATCACACAATTCAACCTTGCTTTAGGTTTATAGAGACATTCCCCCAGTCTGTCACTAGCTTAATGTTACAGATCTGTGGATTATACAGAAAACATATATGTATCTACATATCTCTTTATATATATGTGCATGTTTTCTGCAAACGGATCAAATGACAGATTGGGACAATTCAGATGAGGGAAAACATTGTTGAGGGAAGAATTCAACACTTCTCTCCCACTGCTGATCATCTTTCCCCAACCTCTATGGTGCTGCTAAAGTTTTTCAAAAAAATGCAAGAAGAAAGGACAGACGATCACACATGTGCTGTGTTATTTTGGATGGCCTTAATAAAAGGACTGTGGAGAGGTGATATGTGAATTGCATAAATAACAAGGGAAGAAAGTTTTAGTATTTTAAGGGAAAGTGGAATACTGAAGAGAAGATGAATAACTGAATAACTTTCAAAGAAAAAAATGAATGAAAATAAATGGGATGCAGTAGAAGTTAATTTAGGAATAAAGTCAATGGGGGGGGGGAAAGATAAAGACTAGTCTTTAGATTCAAGAAGATAAGTTGTTTCGGTAACATACTTAAAAATGACACCTGAAGTAAAGGAAACAGATCTGGAGAAGCAGCAGCATGCTAAAAAGAGATTTAATTAACACCTTACTTGAAGATAATTCCACCAGTATTTGATGGTCCTCCCTCTGATATGGCCCAGTGCTTAAGTTAAAACTGGTATCCTCAAAGGAGCTGTTTAATCTCTTCTGCGTGTAGTTTTTTTTCTATGCTCAGTGATAAATACTGAGCAAAATATTACATAGGTGCATGTAGAACAAAACACTGGGTGCATTTTGTGTTGTATTTAAATAAATTTTGGGCAATAGGGGGATATTTTCCACTTCTCACCCTTCAATATGGGCATCTGTTCACAGTGGATGGATTTCATTCCCCTAAGGGATGTGGACAGTTTAAAATTCTACTGAACACATTATGACAGCAGGAGGACCAATTAAGCTTTGATCCGTCCTGAAAGCAGGGATATATATGTTTCCAAGACCACAGCACTAGACATGGAATATAATTACATTTCTCTGGCAATGGAGTGGAATAAACAAGAGGAAACAGAGAAAAGCTCACTCAGCAGTAACTTCCTAAATGTGTATTACACTCACACACACACATTATATATATATATATATTAAAACGAGTTGAGTGAAACGTTCCTTTTACAACAATGAAATAAACAGATTGATATAATATGCTTTGAAATAATGGATGCTGCAACCCACCTTAAGAACATCTCCTTGTGCTAAATGAAATGTTCTGGCAGATATATTGATTCCCTTCCCTGCTTGTACTTGAATGCTGTAAATACATTCATGGTTGTTTTCATAGTTGAGTGGGTAATTGGGGGACAGCAAAATTCCTTCATTATTTGTAGCAGATGCTCCGCATTCAGCTGCAGGTAAAGCAGAATTTGAGGTATAGCTCAATAGAGAACACAAATTATTTCAGTTATGGTAAAGCTGGGACACTGAAATGCCACCTAATACCAAATCATTAATATCTACAGGTAAGTTATAAACAAATACTTTCCTAGAATATCTTCATTCATATATATATGCCAAGCCTATTATCATTGCCTGTTTAGCCATAGTCCTCATGATGTGAAATATTATGACAAAACTGCTATAGCAACAGATGTTTAGCAATTTTAACTATGTGATAATCACTGACATGACTCTTCTGGAGGAAGGGGGGGAGAGTCCCCCCCCCGGAAAACTACCCAATGTAAAAAAAAAAAGGTGATCAGATTTAGCATTTGTATTTCAACTTATATTTAGCAAGCCACTTGGAGTCTTGTCATCCAGAAGAAAAGTGATGTGTAAATATTTTAAATAATTGAACAATATTTGATACGATTGTTTCAAATGTAAAATAAGAAAAAAACAAAAATAAGCAAAACAAAACCAAAACTTGTACTGAGGGAGGAGACAAACCAAGTGTGGTTTAAATGTTATGATTTTTTTAAAAAATCAGAACTTTATTTGGAATAGTATTTCCAACAAAAAAAACAGAATATACTGTGTACTTTCTTGACACTGTTTGAATTTAAGAAAGAAAGAAAAATACCCCCAAACACTGAAATTTGTTGCGATATTAATGTTATCACATCCAAAGAAATACACATGGAATATCATGCACCTCTCACAAACTCATCTATTTCAACATAATTTATGTGCTTCCACAGAAGTCACTAGAAAAACTTCATTTACTGTTCCTTTACATAACAGCACTCACATTTCTGATTAGTTCCATAACAGATTAATGATTACAATATCCTGTTTACCATGTGAAAGAAGACATATAAATACTTTGGCTTTGGGGGTAGATCCAATTGGCATTTCCACACAATCCTGTCCAGTTCTTTTCCTTACCACATGTCCCTGCAAGTCCCAAAGATCCCCAGAGTAACATTTGTGATGATTAAAGGAGACCCCCATTGCTTTCTCAGTGGCTGAAAAACTGGCTGGATCCAGCCTTTGGTTTTGACTTGGCCCACACACTTGATCAAGCAAATTTATAATCCATGCTTTTAATTTAGATAATTATATGTATTTGTAACTCTATGCACACCCCCACCCTGTTTACAAATCCATAAAACATACATATAGTCTCTTGGACAATTCCTTGGGAAAATCACCTGGGAAAAAATAATTAATTGCAACTTAGAAACTCTCCAGCCTGCATAATACTGTACTGGCAAAAGAAAACATTCATTATGATTATTAATTTTATGAAACAAAGACTCTTCAGAAATGTACAATTTTCCATGGAGAAAAATGAAGCACTAGAAAATTTTCCTCCCCACATCTCATGTAAAAATTATTAAAACATCAATTTTCAAATCACACTTCTTTTTCAAATTGTGTTGTTTTTCTTATAGTATCACATCTATTATTTTCATGACATGTTTGAAATAAAAAACAATAATGCAGTCTTGAGTCAATAAAATTAAGGGGCGGGGAGTAGATCGCACAATGGTGAAAGAAAGGTTTAACATTCAAAACTGATCAATGAAGTCAAAGGCGGGGAGGATCCAAGTAACAAAATAACTTAAGGAGGAAATTCTTTCTATGCCGAAAACACATTATAGCAAAATGAAAGAAGGCTGTGGGTACTTAAGTAAGGCAAGTGAACCATGTTACACGGGTACCATAGTATAATGGAGGGGGGAGTAAACTGTGTAGATCATAGTTATAAAGAGTTGGATGGAGGATAATACCATGTTGTATCACCCTATAATGATAAGACATCATTAAAAGTTAGAATAAAGAGGCACAGAGTAGCAGAAACAAATTTTGCCCTTAAGGTACCAGCAGTGCATTATGGATGTTCTAGCAAAGTATGTAATCCACTTAATCATGGAGTTGTTTCCTAAACACATTTGCATGGGATTAACTCAGAGGGTTGCAGTGGGTTTTGAACTGGCAAACTGTCCACAAAGAAATTGGAAGCAAAGAATAATACATGGCAAAAAATTGAAAGGAACCAAAGAAATTTTGGGTAAATCTTCTAGGAAAATAAGCAGTATTCCCAATGAAAAACAATGGATTTTTCAGGAAGTGAAGTTCAACATACTCTTACTATTTATTAGCTGGCCAGCAATAATTAACATTTTAAGTGAATCTTAAAATTATGGTGAATAAAACTGCTTGTAGCCAAGCAGTGACAAAAACACATATGGGCAGCGGTCACACGGGCCGGAAAATGTGTGTGGGGGAAGCGTGGCTCTTTGTCCCAGAGGAAAATAATGTGTGGCCACCCGATCACACGTCCCGGTTGAGGTCAGGGGGGAGGTGCTAATCACACGAGTATCCTGCACCTCCACCGAGAGCATCCGGGCGAATGAGAAAGGGAAAGGAAAGAGCCGCAGCCTCTGGGAGGGTCTCGCGCAGCCCACTCCAGGCGGGGTCTGTGTTCCACTTGCAAGGAGGGGAGGGGGAGATTAACCCGCCAGATCCCCCTCCTCGCCAGCAGCCCTCCCTCCCTCCCTGGGACACATGGCCCACTCTCAGCCTGGCCTCTGCCACTCAGCCCCATCGCAGCCTCCTGTGGCCCTCTCTCGAACTCAAAGAAGCTGCGCGATCACACTAGCGATAGCTCTTTGTGCGCATGAGCTGTTGGGTGCTTTGGGAGACTTGGGAGAAAAAAAACCCCTTGTTTGCAACGAACATCAGCAGGCGCCAGATGCCATGGGATTCCAGCGGAAATGCAATCAGGTGCCCACCCTTGCCCTGCAGTTTCTGGAAACTAGTACCTCAGAGGTACTAGGTTTTTACTCCGCATCTTCGGCGGGAAGCCTCGGGTTAGCCACGGGTGCGCTACACTTCCCAGATGTTGCGGTGTGATTGCGCCCGGAAAATCCGCCTACCATCCGTATCGCCAGCGTGGCAAATGCTCCATGTGACCGCAGCCATTATTTATTATTTTTATCTATTTATTCTATTTTTATCCTGCTCCTTACCCTGCCAAGCAGGGCTCAGGGCAGCTTCCGTTGGACATACAACAAAATCAGCATCATACATTAGCCAAAACCTACAGTTAAAAGTTATTAGAGATTAGTGGCCTGTAACAGTGGCTTTCTATAAACATGGGTTCCTTAGAAGCTTACCAAGGGGTTCTTCAAGGAAAAGAACATTTCTAGACATGGGAAATTTACTAATTTTATATATTTGTATCCCCGTACTCCTGTTTGAGATGGTGAAAACAAATCATTTTAAACACATCTTAGACCATAAAAGAACCAAATTAAAAAAAACATATACAATATTATAACCATTTAAAATAATGTGTAAAAAAATCCTCAAAGTTCAAATACCCTATGGAAAATGGGAACCTTTGTGGGATGGAGGCTCTCTGCCAACAAATCTGAAACCACCACAAAGCTGTGTCTGATATTTCCATGGTCAATATTTCAAATCTCCAGTTGGTCTAACAAGGTGGTACAGTTGACCACACGAGTAACAAAATTGTACACCTGTATAGACCAGTTGTACCCACAGATCATCCAACAAAGCTCGCAATGACATCTGCATCCAATATACATGCTGGAAAATAATTAATACTCAAGCCAAACAAAGCCCATTCAAAAATATAGTAAGTGATCTAAATTTGAACAGAAGGACTGTCTCTCCCAATATGAACCCTAACTTTTCTCCTCCCAGGCATTCCTTTTGAGTGTCCTGTCCGCATCACACCGCCACTAGCACTTTATTTGTTACCGTATATTACTTTTATGATTACAATTTGTGCTTTAATGTATTTTAACTTTTAATGTGAGCTGCCCTGAGCCTGCCTTGGTGGGGAGGGCGGGATATAAATTGAATTAAATAAATAAATAAAAATCACCATTTGGGCACAATCCTTTTCAGCTGTGCAACCTTCTTCTTTCAGTCTCCCAGAAGAGGTCAGGAAGATTCCCCACCTTAGCACATTTCTAGACTCATCGACAAGCATTTTTATTTATGAAGGATTTTTAAACCAACTACATGATTTATGGTGTTTATGTTGTGGCGTACATGTAATAGATATGAAGTTATGGCTGCTTAATTTCCCCCCTGTAATTGGGGGGGGGCTTGTATTTATAGACTTTGAATATGCATTTAGAATGTTCTAATACATTTATACAGTGGTGTTTACACTTGCATTTGTAAGCCACCTTGAGCTACTGTTTCATGATAGGAAAAGCAGAATATAAATATTTAATAAATAAGAAAATAACGGTATTTCTAATAACTAAAACCAGTCTGAAGCCTTCTGACCTGACATTCACAAAATGTAAGGCAGGACAGAGGGAGGACAGAGGCAGAAGTTCCGCCTCAATCTACATTTGACTCTTCCCAGTAAAAGCAGGTCTACTGTAACAGGGGAAAGTAGCAAAGGCTTTGCTTGCACAATTGGAAGGCAGACTCGGGAGGTCTAGAGAATGGGAAGCAGTGGAGCAGTGTACCTGAGTACATTAACCGTGATGAGTCTAAAAAAATTAACACCCTTACCCCAGAACTGATCAGATTTCCAGACTTTACAAAACAATTAATATTTGCAGCCATTCAACAGTAAATCCCTCTCAAAGGCGACAGGAATTTTTTGAGCTGATTCTGGAATGAAACTGTTTTGATACATCTCACTTAAAAAAAAAAAGGCTTGTTTTAAGTATGCTGGAAAGGAGCAGTTTTGCAAAGTGTTCAGCTTTGCATAGATCTCAGAAAGCTTTCCCTAATTATCAAGAAGAATTGTTGCAGAAACCTCAATAAAGTAACCACAGGTTCTTCTGGGAACGGACTACCACAAAGACAAAATTGGTAAATTGGCCTTAAAATCCTAAGGCCTACCTGTATTCTGAATTCATTTTTAGACTTTATTAGATAGAATGTAAAATGTATTTTAGATATAACATATTAATAAAATCCTCTCTAAGCAATAAGTGTTAAAATTCAACAGCAGGCTACATATGGAACCCCCAAAACTGCTGAAAACATATGGGTGAGGTATAGAGTATAACTGTATCAGAAATAAGAGGTGTGTTACCATGCTTATCCATGCTGTATATTTGCAACTCCATGGACAATGACTACACATACAAGCAAATGAAAGCAGCTGACCACGTACCCACACACCTGGGCAGAGGTGCACTCCACACACGTCGGCCACCACCAAGACAGATAATCTCTGAAGCTCCCTCTAAACGGTATCCAGATGAACAGGAGAATGTTAAAGTGTCTCCTACTCCAAAGTTAAACCCTATTCTGCTTCCAAATTGCGGGGTCCCAGGATCCTCACAGGGTTCAAGGTTATATTCTGTGGAAGAGAAAAAAACAAACAAACCTTCTTTCTCCAAAATATCTTCAAAGTTTTCCTTCATACTTGGTCCTCTGCCTTATTATCAAGCATGCAGTTGTACCTGAGAATCAATTTAGGCTTCAGATAAATTTTCAAAATAAGTGCTCTATAAAGTAAATAGGCAATTCAGCCACAATTTAAAAATCATGTCCATAAATGTTCATAGCATCTGCAAGATGCATGCTTGCCATTCTTATAATAGCTATAAATGTCTCTAATAGTCCGAATCTGACACATAAAATGAACCTAAATTACTGTGCGGGATAGAAGTAAGACCAATTTCCTCATGGGCTTCTTTGGAATATCACTTCTTGAAATAAGACTTGAAATCATTTTGATGCAACACGATTGTCTTCAGCCTACATTACAATTGCCACAGTAAGACTAAGGGTTTTTTGTTTTTGTTTTATTATACAAATGATACAAAATCAATTGTTAAAGCCACATTTTTAAATGGCATTTGTCAGAATACGTTTTCATCTTTGGTCTTTTCCCTTTCCTTCTCCTTTCTTTCCTTCCAGGTCAAGTTCAATAAAACAGCAAGCACTTTATACAAATACCTCCTTTTGATCTCTTACCAGAGAAAGTAATATTAAATCCTTCATATGATATTGAAAAGTCAGAAATGAAGCGCAACTGAGCCCTGAAATTTCCATAGAGACCCGCATTGATTGCCGACGGAAGTTCTGAGCCAGTCAGGCGTGCCAGTGGCCGGGTGAAGCTGCCGTTCTCCGTGATTAGCAAGTAGTCGTGATGATCTTCCAAATGAAAGGTATGAAAGGTGAACTGCACTCCTATCAGAAGAAATAAAATTAGACCCCCATATCACATAGTTAACAGGAAAGCAATTATATCATTGATTAAAATCACACATCTCATTACAAACGTGGGCTTTGAAAATTAAACAGGTCTTACATTACCCTTGCCCTCATACCTCTATCAGGTTTTTTGTTTGTTTGTTTTTAAAAAACACTGAAACTAGGTGTGTTTTTTTAATGCACGTCTAAGTATTCTTCTATGTTTCATTGGAAGGTGGGAAGATGAAAATTGCTTCAAGCATTTACTGCTCATTTATAGAACTGAAATCAGATGCTATTGTTAACTCTCACCTTTTTGGCCTTAAAAATAAGTGTAATATTGAAAACTCAGGGTGCTTTCCCCCCATAGTTATTAAATGGTATTTTAATTTGATAACACGTGGAAGTTCAAGCAAGGATTGCACGTATGTGACTGCCAGGTGCTGTCTCCTCTCCATACCCACCCTGTCACACATTCCCAGTAGCAGTGACCGAGTTCCTTTTAGGCATGGCATGGGTTGGCAAGCGGTCAGAAAGGCAATTTTAACGAATAACTGAAGTGGAATATATGCTGCTATAATAGACGAAGCCTGGGGAGGTAGAATAGGACTCTGAGGTAATCCTTTTTGGTAAGACAGAACAATTTTGTGTTAATTGTACTTATTTGCTGTGTATAGATACAGATAATAAATTTTACCTACTAGTTACCGTAAGTTATCATTAAGAGCCAAAGACATTTTAAAGATGCCTAATTTGTTAATAAAATAACACTAGAATCCTAAACAGTTTTACAAATATCTGTTGACTTTTATACTGTAACTCCTGAAGGGTATAATTATGCTGAGGCCTGTGTTGTAAAACATCAATTCATTGGTAGAACAAAAACACATTGTTGTCAAGTTAAAATAAATCTAGTTGTTATCAATGTGAGAAGTAAATATTAGCATAAATTAAATCTTTCTTTTTTGGGGGGGTATTTTGTGTGTGTGTCTGTGTGGCAGTGCCTGGAAGTCCTGGTGACCTCTGGTGACTCCCACTGGGGCATGGAGGATGTTCAGAGAAGTGGCTTGATAGCCTGCGTCTGCCTCCAGGCCCTGGTATTCTTTGGAGGTCTCCCATCCAAATACTTGCCAGGGTCAGCCCTGCTTAACTTCCAAGATCTGACAACAACAGGTTTCCTGGGCTATCCAGGTTCAGGGCAGCATAAATTAAATATTGTGTAGTGCATGTCCTGCATGTCCTTACATGTCCTGCGGAAATTTAATAGGTCAGACAGGGCATGGATGTCACTCAAAAGAGAGTTCCACCAGGCTGGGACCAGGGCTGAAAAGGCCCTGGCCCTGGTGGAGGCCAGCTGGTTATCTTTGGGGCTGGGAACCAGCAGAAGATTCTTATCTGCTGATCTTAATGCCCTTCAGGGAACACAGCAAGAGACGTGGTCACGAAAGCGGTTAAATTTGGGCTGGTTAATTCTCATGCTCAGCCCAGATAAACATGTTTCTCACTGGTTACACATGTCAGTAAATGATGTCTGACAAAGTGAACTTTGACTCTCAAAAGTTTACACCCTGAAACCCTTGTTGGTCTCTAAGGTGCTGCTCAAGTCAGCTATTGTAAACCAACATGGCCACCCTCAGAAAACAGCTATCATAGCATCAGAATGTAAAACACTCTACAGGGATTGTCAAGAAATATCTTTTTTGAACAATTAATTGGTTTAGATTGTTTGCTGTCACTTCATAAATCACTTGTTCAACATAAAAAAGTACTAGTTTTACTCTAGTACATATTGGAGTAGGGCTCCCAGCCATCTGCTCTCAACTAGGGGTGTGCAAAAAAAAAAAAAATCGGCCCATTCGAATTCGGCCAAATTGAGCAGAATCAATTTTGACTGGCAGTAAGACTCCCGCATGTCAGTTTCGTCAGTACAAGTGGGAGTCTTTTGCCAGCCCAATGTCAATTTCAGCCCCATTATGTCCTATGGGCCATTGAAGTCAAAGACAAAAACATAGGGTATATTCTGGGGTCTGGAGGGGAGGGGGCTTGAGGGAGAGACTCCAAACACACAGAGTAGCTGCTGGAGCCTCTCCCCAAGATACCGACCAGGTTTCAAAAGCATTGGACCAGGGGGTCCAATTCTACGGACCCCCAAACAGGTTGCCCCTATCCCCTCCATTGTTCTCTATGGTGGGGGAAAAGTAACTTTTTTCTGCCAACACAGCTTCTGATTGGTACCAACTCCCACCACAGCAGCAAGCTTTTCACTGTGTTGCTGAAGATAAGCTGTTTGTATGCAAGAAAATGGTTTTTAAACAATATTTTCATTTTGAAAGGCATTCTGTTAAACAGAGCTGCTGCATTTATTTATTTATTTATTTATTTATTTAGATATTTTTATTCTGCCCTCCCCAGAGCAGGATCCGGGCAGATCACAAAAAACAAAAATGAGTTCAAGACTTGTTACAATAAAATCACATTCAAATCATTAAAACAATAAAACCACACAGGGAGCAACAATGTCATTTAAATCTGTTAGGGCCACAGGGCAGAATCAAATGATAATACATGATAAATTGAAGAGTTACTATTAGAGTGATGCATACCCTCCATGCCTTACTTTATATGGCTGCACCCACCACCCTGTGTTAGAATCCCAAAGGTCCTTGCAGGCTCAAAAAGTTGGGGACTCCTGTCCTACAGCACCATGGCATTGCTGTGACATCACTTCTGGGTACTCACCTGGAAGTGATGTTTTAGTGTTGCTGTTTTTTATTTGCTTCTGCTACTCCAATGAGCAGCAGCAGGAGACCAGAAGAGCTGAAGCCCAGAGGCAGGCTGCCCTATACTGGAGCACACTGAAAACAAGTGAAGTTACACATGTGCATAGCTTTCCTTCTTCACACTTGTCCTACAGTCTTCAGTGTTGCCACAACCTCTGAAACCCTAAAAACTGGTGAACCTTAGGAAAAGAACAGAAAGGGCAAGGAGAGTAGAAATTGCCCACTTCCTTGCATGAGCAAAAGTGCCCTTGGTGTCGTGGCTCAGTCAGGAGGAGAGGACTCCTAAGGAGGAGTGGACTCCTTAGGAGAAGAGGAATCCTGTATAGCTAACTCTGAATCAGCAGAAGCCAGCAAGCAAGAAGATGAACTGCAGGCTTGTCAGAGTTCACAGCTGACAGCTGATACAGAACCACCAGCACCTACCAGCCCTGTTACAACAGATGAAAACCAGGTGATCATTATTACCAGCCTTCCAGTTTCACCCACACCCTTTGAGAGCCGGAGACAAAGGCTTAGAATGGGGCTCCAGGAGAGAAGGCAAAACACACCTCTCCTGGCTTGATGGTGATGAGCAGCTGCAGGGTTACTCCCAAGCAGTTGGCTGCAACTAAGACCTTCCAGCAGATGCCCATAAAAGCCAGTCAAGAGAGTCTGCTCAAAGTGGAAGCAACAAGTCATCACCTGGTGAACTTTGGAAACCCAGCTTTTGGCTCTGCTTTTCCCCAGTGACCTTTGGACTGCCTTTCGACTTGGATCTCGAACATGCTTGCTCTTGTGTATGACTTTGGGCTGAACAACTCTGCCTTGCCTGACTTCTGGAACCCTGACTTTGGACCAACATTGACGCTGACTCTGGACTCTGACTGCGACTGCACCCAGCCCCCAACACTTCAGTTCATGCAATGGTTCACGCAACAGTTTAGTTTCAAACCTATACAGAAGTCATAGCAGAATAAAGACAGATAGAAAGGAAACCAATATAATTAGAAATATTCTATATCACAAAATGTGAATTTCATATATGTATATTGTTTGAAAGGCAAAGTGTCCTGACAGATCCCCACACTGATTGCACTGGAAGATGAAGGGTAACCCCGCTCCTCTAAGTACTAGAATGAAGTAGAAGCCTTAATAGTTATGTAAAATATAAGTAAATCCTTTACCTTTTCCATGGGTAACATCCACAGTCCATGTACAATTCAGTGAATTCGGATAGAGTTCAGGGTAACCCGGAGATAAAATAGTTCCACTTGGCCCTCTAACATCTCCTCCACACAAAGCTGAGAATGAGACACACACACATAATGTAGGCACATAAATACAACTGTTCATATTAAAATTAAACACAGAAAAGAACAAGTTGAAAATCTATTATCTCTGTTTAAACAATAGCCTGTATGTGGGAGTGCCACCAGTTCCCTTGGGTGACAAATCTCTAACTGTACCCAATATTTACACGAAGTGCTCAGAAAGGAAACATGATTAATTAATTGTTGAGAAGCTTTGGTAATAATGAAAACGAATTGCTAATTATACTGGTTGATTCCAGAGAATTCCTAATGAAAAAAAATGTATTATTCACAAAAAATTATTTACATTTTCCGTATCAACAGTGAGTATTAAACACAAGCGTAAGTCATAAATTGGAAAAGGAAATGTAAGTAAGGCAGAATGAATGCAGGGATCGGAGAAGCAAACCACTTTCTAAATTTAAACTAACTTTTCATTTCTCCTGTGCTGACATCATATAACTAGGGTTGCCAGCCCCCAAATAGGACTGGGGCAATCCCCCAATTTAGCAGGCTCCAATTCACCGCTGGCCAGTGGGGAAGCCCTGCCCCCAACACCTGTCACAATGTCCCCAGTGTGATGAGGTCATTCCCACGTGATATCACCATGCTGGGGACAGCCCATGCAATGATGTCACCCCACCCCCACACTCCCAAAGAGCTACCTCCCACCCACCCTCGCCAGGGAGCAAAGAGGACCTGGCAACCCTACATATAACTCACATATGTTTAACCTGTAGTTTATACAATGTATATGTTGTTCCACTGCACCATGTGGTCAAGCAGGTGCTGCATGTTTTTGAAACAAAACAAAAAACCTACATTGCCCGTTGATTATTATCTGGGGTGTGTTCCTCTTAATGCTATTATTGTAGTTTTATTGACACAATTCTAGGGGTTTTTTTTAATGGTTTTAATGAAATTTGTAAGGCTCCTCCCCAAAGCATTTGCATTGACAAAAAACAGGCTGTTCCTTTTCTAGGAACAGATTCTCCCAGGGTTTCTACCCACTTTGTGGATCTGGAGCAGCTGCCTAAACTTCTCCCTTTTGCTTGTGGACAAGGAGTCATTTGCTGTTGCATCTCAACCCGCTCCTGCTGCTAGACTGAGAGAGGGAGGACTGAGTGGTGACTATTTTCCCTCCACCCCTGCAGCACATTCCCATCCCCCTTTATTGTTTACTCAATAATAAGGTCTACTGTGTTTAATGGGATTTGTCCCCTAGAACAGTACGCTTAAGACTGCAGCCATTCACGGAGAAAGATCTCTGGACTGATACAATTTAAAATTGCTGCTGTATCTCATGCCCACTGGCATTATTGATATTGGACCTTTAATTACTCATTTCTTAAACCTGGTTCCTTTTGGCACCCCATGTTATTGAAACTGGCCCTTTTATTACTTGTACCCTGCATAGTTTTTCTCCCAGCTACCAGAATCACCAGCTTTGGCAGTGCCCTCATTTGCACATTCATTTTTATTTAGAGCACCTAATTAGAACCCTTCAGCACCATTCAAAATGAGACTGCACACGTATGCTGGAAAGTCAAAGGGAAAAGGGCATTGCCAAGCACGTACATGCAGTGGATGCTGGAACAACGGGCAAGCAATGCAGAAGGGAAGGGCATCAGTAACTATGTCAACAGAGGCCTCCCAAACCACTGTCCCACCAGCTGCATCAAAATCACATTACCAGTTTAAATGGAGCCACAAGTCTTTTTTAATAAGCTGCTAGCCATTGCAATTTGTTGCAAATTATTACTTACACAATTATAATCTGTTTTAATTGTTTTTAATCATGGGTTTAATTGTGTATTGCTTTGTAAGCTTCATTGAAAGCCAAGAGCTAATAGGTCTCCCATGTACCTGCCCTGGGCAGGACATTATCTGCTCCCAGCCACAATTTCCTATCCCTGTGGAACTGAGGAGTGGGAGAAAACAATGGCTCTCACATAGTGTCACTCTAGGTATTTCCCCTAGTCTCTGTGGTAAAGACTATACAGACTAGAGGACACACCCTAGAGTGTGACCTGGAAGCCACCTTGAATCACAAGGAAAGGCTGCATATATAAAATGCAATTAAATTAATAATTAAATGAGAGTGGTTTGCACATAACACATTCTACAAATAAAGTACACTAAACCACTTGGGACTAGGGTAACTTCTATTGCTGTCACATGAATGTGCCTAAAAGCTAAATCCATCCTTAAAAACTTGCTGTATAGCCCTGTTCACTAGTTACGGTGAATTGATGTACAAACGGCGCTTGATTGTTCTTTATTCATACGTTAATCAATTCTCATATTACATTTATTGAATTCTCATATTACATTTATTGAATGTACAGCTGAATGTGTGACTGAAACCCCACATCGATCCAGGTACAGGTCGCTGGGTTCCTTTGTGAAGTGAACATGTTTGGCTCTTTCCTACAAACAGATGTACACATGTACATGAAGGACATAATGTGCATTCACTGTAACTTGTGAAGAGGGCTTGTGTGCCTTGCCTTCAGAAGCGGGGTAGCCATTTTTTGTTGTTGTTCTTGATCTTTGGAACTCTCTCCCCCTGTCAATGTACCAGATTTGATGACCTTCAGGCACAAACTGAAAACACTCTCATTCCTTTGAGCATCTGTGGACTGACAATTGAAGTTTATATATCATATTTCATTGTTTTGTTTCTTGGGCCTCTCTCTGCTTTTGGACAACTGATCATTTTATGATGAGGCTTTGTGTATGTAAATTACCATCAAGTTACAGCAATATTATGGTGACTCCCTAGGGTTTACAAGGCAAGAGACATTCAGAGGTAGTTTGTCATTGCCTTCCTTTGCATAGCGACCCTGGAATCCCTCGGTGGTCTCCCTGGTTAGATTCCAAGATTGGACTAGTTTCGGCCATTCAGGTCAGGCTATGATGAAGCTCTGCAGTTGATTATATGCTGCTGCTTACTTGCCAATTTTACTTCTGTAGCCCATAGCGCTTTTGCTTTAGTTCTGTAAACCACCTTAGCTGAGACAGTCAAGTACACATGCAAGAAAGAAAAGAATAAATAATGAAACCACGTGTGTGGAAGCCAATTCTGAGGTGACCATGTGTCTGAGGAAAAAATGGAACCACAAGTTTGTTCTGCTTCCTCTCCCTCAGATATCAGGCTCAAGGGTTTGAGTTTGTTTTGGGTTTTTTTTGGCACACTGGGCTCTTGCACATCTCTTCACTGTGGGAGCTATTAAACATTTATTTCTAGTGCCTGAGAACTGTAGGTAATAGAGAGTACATAACATCTGTGCATTCTGCTTCCTCACCTGTTCTGTCACATTCAAAATCTTTCATGGAAAGGTTTGCTTTTGCTTTAGTTCTGTAAACCACCTTTTAAGTGTCTTAGCTGAGAGAGGCCCCTGCCACACGGCAGGGGAAAAACGAGGAGAAGCGCAGCTTTTAAAAGCCTCGCTAAAAAAGAAACGCCTCCCCGGCACGATCAGATGCCGGGGAGAAAGAGGCGAGTGGGAGGGGAGGCTGCCGAACTGCGCATGCTCGGGCATGCACAGTTCGACCGGGGGCTGGGGATGCGGCGGCGGCAAGACATGCCATGGATCCCATGGCCAGGAAGAGGCGGCCCAAATGGATGAATCATTTTTGCCACGCATCAACGGGGGAAGGGCCGGATAACGGGCGGGAGCGCGACGCCAGGCAGATGTTGACGTCGGATCGCTCCCGTTTGCTGCGCTTCCGATCTGGCCCGCTCCCGGCCCAAACTGCCTCGTATGAACGGGGCCAGAGTCAGGTACACAGGAAAGAAAGAAAAGAATAAATAATGAAACCACTTGTGTGGAAGCCAATTCTGAGGTGACCATGTGTCTGAGGGAAAAATGAAAGCACAAGTTTGTTCTGCTTCCTCTTCCTCACATATCAGGCTCAAGGGTTTGGGTTGGGTTTTTTTTTGCCACACTGGGCTCTTGCAAATCTCTTCACTGTGGGAGCTATTAAATGTTTATTTCTAGTGCCTGAGAACAGAGAGTACATAACATATGTGTATTCTGCTCCCTCACCTGTTCTGTCACATTCAAAATCTTTCATGGAAAGGTTGGTTAATATCAGCAATTTCTAAATGCTGCTGTCCAACAAATTTCCTTAAGAGAAACAGAGAGAAAGCACTGGCAGTGGCAATTATATTAAGTATTTAATCTTCCCATATGAATCTGCCCAACTATTTAAGATCATCCTCAGAGGCTTTGCTTCTTCCGTTTTGTCCAAATAAACACGCAGGTTTTTGACGGTGTCCATTTAAGTTTGTTTAAATCAACGGGCTTAGAAAAGCATAACTCTGCTTAGGATTGCACTGCAGAACTATCTAAAATATGTGCCTCTCTTCAGTCGAAGTTGGGACATTCAGCACATACTTTTCTTAAATCTTAACTCTTTTCTTAAACATTTAGCTTCCCTTGCTACAGTTGCTGTTCAGTAATTTAAATTAAAGACCTTTCTAAACAGAAAACCGTTCTTCTACCATTTGACAGTATTTAACCAATATGCATAATTTGAGACTTGTTGATTGCAGTTCTTAATGAACATTAATAATTCCTCCAAATTAAATAATGTGAAAGCTCTGTTGTCAGCTTCAGGTAATCAAACTCTCTGTCAGTGAAGTCATTTTAGCAAACTTTTTAACAGTGACTTCTTCTTCTTCTTCTTTTAAGACTGAAATGTAGTATTACACAGAAATTAATTCCAGAAATATTTTTTCATCGATATTGCTCTAGACCAGGGGTGTCAAACATAAGGCCCGGGGGCCAGAACTGGCCCATCCAGGGCTGTTATGCAGCCCACAAGCAACTGGTGCAAGGGAGGAAATAGAAGGCTGCTTGAGGGTGGGTGGGTGGAGCCACTTCACTTGTGTCTTCAGAATGGCAGGCTAACCTTGTCTGCAGCAGTCAAGCAGAACCCCTTCACTTCAGGGACTGGTAAACTGGGGGCCACTACAGCCACAT